GGGGGGGGGTCCTTCTCAACTACATGGCCAGTTGCTATTGAAAAAATTTACGGCCATATCTTCCGTTCCAGAACGACATGCTTTTCTGCATAAAATGTAAATAATTTCCTTTAAAAATTATTTTAATTACACTTTGAGACACGAAAACTTTTCACACTTGCCGCCAATTTTTGTGGTCGGTCGCGGGCTGGGACTTCTCACGCGAGAGTACCGCTGACAATTCTTTGGCTTAATTTGTTCTTAGCAACAGCACTTGTATTTACGAAGGACCCCTCTCAAATAAATATCTTCTGCATTCTACCAATACATTAGGATTGACTGAACCTTTCAGTGATCTGTGGCCTGCATATTCAGGCTCCTGAAGAAGGCAAGAGGGGAGAGACCTTATCTTATCAACAAATCTTACACTCCCACCCCCTCCCCCTCCGGCGATAAATTATAGCTTCTTTCTTCAGGGAAGTCATTTTATTTGTGATGTACCTCTATACTGTCTCACATACAACTAATTACAAAGAGCCTTCTATCAATGGACAACAAAAAAATAATAATCCTCGCGATAAACTATTTTCGACGTAAATAGCAAACCATTTCTTGTGATTTAAATTTCCTATGGAGCTCTTAAGAAGTAAAAGAGGGGTGCGCATAGTCTCGTATTTAGACCTTTCACGGCCAAGCCGTTCCAGTTACATGGTAGGATCTAGGGTGTGCGTCCCATAACTAGGTTTTACCAACCGCACACAGAAGTTCATTAGAACCATTGCGGTCCAATGAAAATGATCATAACTGTTGTATAAATTTTTACTATTTGTCAGATGTTGAAATCATTTCATATTTTATGAAAGAATGAATGCTTAACGACCAAACAAACCATACGTTTTAAATACTAATCATGAACGATTTCAATTTGTATAGGGTTGAGCGAAGTATTTATTATGAATCGATGTAGATATATTTTAAGACAACGGATAAGTCGAAAAAAATCCTTAAAAAATTACAATCTCGTTCCCATGGCCTTTTCCCTTACTTGGGGGTGGGGCGGGCTACCCCCAAGTAAGGGAAAAGACCATGGGAACGAGGTTGAAGAAAATTGGTCAAGGTAATTGTCGGGATCAATGTTAATATCTGAGAAAATGCGCTTCCACAATTCCCCTAACGCAGCTTTAGGGGAAGGGGTAGGTGTGCATTTCCTTTGACATTGATGCAAATGTCGCCTGTGTCAGGAGATGGGCTCCTGTCTTTGTCTTGCTCCTCCGAAAACATAAATGTACGTGGAGTTTTTTGGACGAAATATGTTTCCTAATGATAACTGTGCTTTTCGTTTCATTTTGAAAAATTTAACCGTCCTCGTTAACGAGCTGTTACCACGGCTCTTTTTATGATGTGTTTTTATTATGTGTGAGAGAAAGATTAATGACTTTGGTAACAAGGCTATTATCGATATATTCGGTAACTGAGCTAATGGCTTCAAATTTATTTAATAATTTAATTGAATTCTATAATACAGATATAAAATATTTATTATGAAAGCAATAGACGATTTTATTAATTTATCAGACATTTATAACAATTGATTAATTTATTTTTAGAGATATATTATGATGTACAAATGAAATCAGAAGTACATATATAATTATACTTCATGTACGTGACCAACTAATTTGCTAGTCAGCTATTAACAAATATCGTCAAGAAACATTCCAAAATCTGTGACGCCTGTGTAGGTTTATTATTCTTTTCGCAGAACCGTTTGGGCTGGTCTCTTACCCTTTTTAGTGCTTCGGCGCAGTCGTTTTCTCGCCTGCGGGAAATTCTAAGGCCTTTGGCAACGCGAGTCGGCGACAGGTTTGCAAGCGGTCTAGCACTGAAAATATTAGTGCCAGATCATCGGCAAACTTATCGGCGACTCGTCTCAAATCTTCTTTCCCTGGGCGGAAAACGTGCCTCCGGCAGCACTATTAATTAGGGCCTACTTGCACGCTAGGTCACGGTAGTTAGTCTCCTTCACAGTTGTTGCTCGTCGAGCCATACATGTATGTTCCAAAAAAAAAAGAGATCAACCCTTTATTTTTTGAGAGTAAGTGGGGAGATTGGAATATTTTCAAGACGACCACACTTTTCTACGTCTTCGTCTGTGCCATATTTTTTTCCAAGTTGCTTCTTTCTGCTGATCAGATCCACCAAAAATCTTTTTCTTTCCTCTTTTTTGAAATCTTTTAAGCGAGCAATCTCTCCTCGTCCTCTCCCCCCCTTCCTTCCCCGAAAAAATGGTTAATCCAATGACTTAGGGTACCTCTCACTGCCATTACCTCCCTGCAATCTCTTTTCTTTACAGGAACCCTTAGGGCATAGGGTGCACACACATGACGCCACGCGAGGCGTAAACAAAATGCTCGAAAGAATAAACCGCTGAACTTTCCAAAATTACATCGCTTTCTTTCGGAGAATCACACACACAGCAAACGGCACTGCTCTTTACAGTCCAATAGGGCTGATTCATGATGATTCACCTCCCTTAGGTCTCAGTGGGTGAACTTTTTCTGCACGAGCTCGCACGTGCAGTGGGTCGGGAATTTTCATCTTCCCTTCTGACTGAAGCGGGAGCGATGCCGTTACCAAGCCATTTTAAGTCACGTGATCAGACCAACGATCTCACGCGACCTCACGCGATCTTGTTTTATCAGATGTTCGTTCCCAGTCGCTCCCTGTGGTTATTAAAAAAAAAGCACTGCGCGTCTACTGCGCATAAATTTCCTATTATTACTGCTGGTTGTTACGCGAGTACATGGTAGAAATTCAAAGAACATGGCTCTTGAAGAAGTTAACTCCAACACGGAATTTGATAAAATCTTGGGTAATTCTTCCAGGTGAGTTAATGTCCTATGTTTCAACCTGCCTATAATTTTTTCTCTGCTGATAGCAAAACCAATGTTTGTTACGAAATCGCGGGAACATAAATTATGTGCTTTCCTAATACGAAAAGAAATCGAGATCGCCGCAAGCTTAGGTGATACAGAAAATGCTCGGTTTAATTTTGGCTTTTCGACACGATCAACTCCATTTGTACAAGGTAAGTTCAGATGACACTTTACTTATAAAATTAAAGATAAGCTTTGCCTAGAAACTTCCAGCTTCGAACTTGACAACCAAAAATGTCAAATTGAATGCAATTAACTTAAGTTACATTTATTTTCATTACGAGATTTTTTTGGCGAGAAACGCTACCAAGGCTTGGTGTTTTTAGTTTGTAAAGTCCGTTTCTTTCTATTGTTTAATATTTCAATTGTGACTTAAATTTCAAATTGAAACTTTATTGATTTTTTGAGGCTCACCAAAAATTCGGCCGATCACCCTTAATATTTAATCCTGTATGAAAGATGATGGAGCATAATTTGACTGTCATTTCAGTGTATGTTCACTAGAATTTTAGAGTGAACTCAAATTATTATAGATTAATTTGAAGTCTCCGTTTTTAAATAGAAAATGTCAAATACATAGTTCGCATGTGTGTTGTAGCATAATGTCCACGTTGTAAAGCTGTTAGCTTTAAATGCTTAGTTTTATGTTTTTATTTTTACAGGAAAAGAAAATAAACATAACATTTGTTACTGTTAGGGTGGTGCTTCGTAAATTATGCATGCTTGAAAACATGTACATCAGGCATATTTTGCGTGGAAGGAGTTTGGAATATATTTCTTTAGGGTCCCTGTTGAAATGTTGATAACCTCCAATTTATTTTGCTGTCTTTGTTTATTTTTTGACTGTTTTTTTTTTCCAATTGGCAATAAGATGACCTAAGGAAAGAGAGTATTTTTTAAAGACTAGCAATGTGCTTTGTCCTGTGATACATGAAAAAAATGTGTCACTGTTGTAGGTGCTGGTGTCTTGGTAGTATTAAACAAAATCCCCTGTCTTCTTTTTTGAATCAATTTTAGTGCCCTTACTGTGGTACATTTCCATGCTCCATGGGCTCTTCAATGTAAACAGATGAATGAAGTGATGACAGAGTTGGCAAAGGAGAACTCACATGTCAAATTTGTGAAGGTCAGTCCCATTGTTGGAAAGTCTTAGGGGACAATTCATTATTCATTCACAGGGTGTGGATGATTTTGTTTGTGTCTCCATGATATGAACTTGATCCTCTTATAAGGCTCTGTAATATTCTCAGGAACCCCTCCCTCCCCTTCCCCATTACATTCAACTGGCTGTAATTTTTTCATTGTCCCCCTTTACACTCTGTTGGTAATAACTGATCGCCTCTCTGTTCCTCCTGATAACCATGTGATCATTTCCCAGAATCCTTTGCAACCTCCTCCTTGGCAATAAATAGTCTCTAAGTGAGATGTACTGACATCAACTTTACATTGATAAACTCCTGCAAACACAGCACAACAATTTCAATAATCAATACATTATTTTGCCTGACCAACTTCTGTCCCATATATTTTTTGTTTATAGCTTGAGGCTGAGAATCTACCAGAAATATCTCTTAAATATGAAATAAGTGCAGTTCCAACATTTCTCCTTTTCAAGGTGGGTAAATTCTCTACACCCTAATTTTAGTATGCATATTCTCCATACTGTTCTCTTTACATTTCCTAAGGTAATGACAAGGAGAATTTGTTTAACAATCAAGAGCTTCTTTAGTTGGTAATCATTTCCTTTATTCTTCTGTAATGTGTGATTTGGGGAAGGAGAGGGTGGGCTGGGCCGGGAGATATTGTAAAGAGAGATAATATGCCAGTCAATCTGCAGAGGGTCAAGGACAATGGGATAGGATTGGATAAGATTTGTGTTTCCCATTGTGGGAGTCCTTACCACCCAGGTTAATCTGATTGATCCTTTCTCTGTTAGTAGTGATAAAAAATAATTTTCTCCTTACAGTATCAATACCTTTCTACGCAGAGAGGAAATAAAAATTTTGACTTGGTGTTATTTTTCTATTTGACACTAAATACTTGGTGTGAAAATTAAACGAAATGTATGGCTGTCAGTGTAAAAAATTCATATTTCGATCTTGGAAGTGGAAGGGTTAACTATTATTTTCATGAGGATTATCCTGAGAAATGTTGATGAGCATGATGATAATCACTTAAATAATGACATCCATAATGGTGATGACAATAATTATGGCAATAACAATACATCTGGAGGTGTTCATAGGGCAAGTGTTGGTCATTATCTGTGGTCACTCTGGTTTTACATGGAAGTAATAAATTTATTGCTGATTCATCATAATACAGAAGTAAGACAGAAAAAGGCAACAGTGCAACATGTTATGTATGGTCACTCATCCAAGTGTTAACCCTTCATTGTTAATACTTCAAGCTTAACTTCAGTGAGAAGTACGAGGATGTGGCTAACTACCACTATGATGCTCAAAGTGGATACTAAGTGTGGTTTGCCACGGGCATCCCACAAAAATAATGGCACTAATTTTGATTACTGTGGATGACATTATTAGTAAACTTGTTGGACATGACTTTTAACTTGTTTATGTTTAGAACCAAAAGGTTGTGGATCGGTTGGATGGAGCAAATGCTCCAGCCTTGACCAAGAAAGTTCAACATCATGCAAGTATTATCACCACGACTGTTACTGCAGAAAAAGAACAGGACACAAAACAGGTTTGTTCCAGAGGTTTTCTACAGGTTTTGTTCTACTCTTACTTTCATGCTTAACTCTCACATGTTTGTTACAGGTCAGGGAAAATGCAGGGGAAAAAATATTTCTGCAAGATTAGGGGAAGTCACGGAAATTTTACCTCTTTGAAAGACGTCATGGAAGAGTGAAATCTCGTTTTAATCTTGTGGAGGCCCTTTTTGTGATGAGAAATGCTGACCCTTTTTGGCAGTTAATAGATTCCCACAAGCATTTTTATTTCCCCTGTGTGATTCAAGTTACTTTGTGAATTAAACTTCTCCCATTCTCGTGGTTTTGAATGTTTCATATTCTGTGTGACATTTTATGGACATAAAATGTGTTGGATTGGTAGAATACTGTTTCATGAAATTGAAGAACAAAATGATATATTTGGTTTTCAAGAAAATCAACTACTTTTCTATGTTGCATTTAAGAAACTGTCAATTCATAAGCTCTGCATGTGACTTGAATAAAACATAACTTAAAGGATGGAAGGGAGGTATGAGGCCATTGTCAGGACTTATAATCGATATTTTTTATTCAGTTGGTCAGGGAATTTTGGGGGAAGAGTCTGAGAAAAGTCTGGGAGAAGTCAGGGATTTTAAAAAGATCTATGAATGTGGGAACCATGTGTCATTAAGAGATAGTAGCTGGTCAAAACAGCTGGCAAGTCTGCCATCTTGAGCTAGCTACTTTCATATCGTTTTATTGCGGTTGCTGATGAGAAATGGTACATTAATGCATCACTACTATTAACTATAGTTTTGTTTGTTTCTCAGGATTTAAATACCAGGTTGAAGAACATCATAAATGGAGCACCAAATGTCCTCTTCATGAAAGGATCACCTCAGGAGCCTCGCTGTGGTCTGTATCTAGCTTTTTTGTACTGATATTTAGGGAATTCACTTTTTGTTTTTTTTTTTTTAACTCTCTACACACTAATATCAGTATCTAAATTCTCCATACTCTTCTTTGTGCATTTCCTTTAGTACTGACAAGGAGAATTTGTTTAACAATCAAAGCTTCTCAGCTTGTGGATCATTTCCTTTATTCTCATGATTATAATGAATGATTCAGCCATATAACTGTAAGGAGAAATTACATGCTCATAGCTCTCAGGGTTTAATTAAAGTGTTAAAGGTTTTTTTTAAGTGTTTGCCTTGAGGAGGCCATTGGGAAGTTCAGAGTGTTGTGAAATTGCTTTAAATATTTATAAGATGGTATTGTTTCATGTCAGTACAGCAAATTGATTCTTTGTTTTGATTGTAGGATTTAGTCGGCAAATAGTAGAATTGTTAAATTCACATGGAGCAGATTACAGTCACTTTGATATCCTTACAGACAATGAAGTCAGACAAGGTTTGTAAGTTGGTCACAGTTTTTCCCCATCTTTCGTTCATTTTGAGTGACAGTAGGAACATAAATTGCTGTGAGTTGGGTCTTGTATCATGTTTATCTCAGTTAAGCATGAGGTATCTATCTGAGGTTGTTTTATTTTATTATAATAGGTTTAAAGGTGTACTCAAATTGGCCCACATACCCACAGTTATATGTTGATGGGGAACTAGTTGGAGGCCTGGACATAGTGAAGGTTTGGAAATGCTTCCTCGTATTTGTTTATTTGGGCAGTTTAACCCTACCATTACACCCTAACATCAGTATCTATATCCTTAATACTCTTCTCTTTACATTTCCTTTGGTACTGACAAGGAGAATTCATTTAACAATCAAAGCTTCTGTGGTTGATGATCATTTCCTCTCTGCTCATGATCTTAATGAAGGATTCAGTAGTTTTAGTGTAAGGCAAAGTTAGAAGCTTGTCACTCCTAAGGCCTGGTCATTTACATGAGGTCTAACCAAACTGTAGTTTAATGCAAGTTGTGTACCTCAGGGATTCTCTGTAAGAGGGCTGACTGATTTGATTGAATAAATGTCCATTCATTATTAGCATTCAGCTGTCTTGACACTGTTCTCAAAAATAAATCTTCAGATAGAACTTTTGGATAAATTGAAGATGGCTAAGAACATGGTTTTCTTAAACAACCACTAAACATTGTTTAAATAATTGACACTTACAGTTTAAGGACTTTTTTATACACCAAATTTAAATGTTCATGGCTGTTGCAGCAGGCCCAGTTTGAGAAATTTTGATGTATGTAAATTTTGGGTAAGGAAGTAAACTGAAGCTTTAAATGACATTTCTGAAAATCATTTACCTTCAGAAGGGTTCTTTGGGCCAAATAGAAGGAAATTCAGTATTTTTACTTTGTCAGCTGCACTTACTATTTCCAGATAAACACTCATAACCCTTTAACTCCCATGAGTGACCAAGACAGAATTTCTCCTTACAGTATCAATACAATATCACCCAGATAAGTGATGAGAATAAAGAAAAATGGGGACAATTAGTTGATTCAATACTAAATTCTCTGATCTAGCATTGTAAGAATTGTATGGTTGACAGAAAGGAGAATTACAAATTTGATCTGGGAGTTAAAGGGTTAATATAAAGGAAAATGCTATCAGCATGATCTTTGTGTTACTAAGACCTTTTCCATTTATTTTCATTGCAGGAACTTGCAGCAAGTGGGGAATTAACATCGACATTGTCAACAAAAGAAGATCTTAACAAAAGGTAAATACCAGCCTCAAAAAAAAAAAACCAAAAAAAAAGGGAAAGGTTTAGTCTAAAAGTATTCTGACCCAAAAAAAACAAACAAACAAACAAAACCATTCACTCTGATGAAGGGCTGATGCTGGAAACATTAGCTTTAGAAACTCTTTGTGGTGGCTGACTCACCCACACAGCACCACAATTAGAAACTTCGCCTCATTAAAACATGGTTCAGTCCAATAAGCCCACCCTTCCATCTCTTGCTTTATGCATATATTCTGCATGTGTCACACTACTGTTAACTTTATTTTCAAGGTTACAGTCTCTTATCTCAGCTGCCCCTGTGATGGTTTTCATGAAAGGAAATCCTGAGGTGGGTTTAGATTTCATTAATTCATGATGAATTTTAGCTGCATATGGCAAAGATGGCTAGGTAGTGTGGTGTCCTCCATGAGCCCAGGGGACTTGGGTTTTCACCACCTACTTCTTTCTGAGGTGCTGAGTACTTAAATTATACAAAGAAGTGAAATCTTATGCCAGTTAGTCGTTTACATCCACCTGAACCTTTTGCTGGTGTTTTCCTTTCTTTTTTTTAACATGTACCCATCTTGATCTGTAGAATGATATAATGTTCACCTTTTTTCTTTTATTTTTACTGCATACAACTAAGAAATCTTCAAAGGAAAGCTAGAGAAACTGACAAGTCTGTTTAGTGAAATTTGTGATTATAGTCATGGTAACTTAAATTTAGTAATTTTTTTCATAGGGTCCAAGGTGTGGTTTCAGCAAGAAATTGTGTGAAATCTTGAAAAAGTATCCTAGGTGAGTTGAGTTATTCTAGCAGGGTTTGGAATTTTTAGGTTTTTGTTCAGGTCTTTCTAATTAAGGCTTTCAGAAACTAAACATGTGAGAACTGAAAAAGGTTTAGAGACTCAAGGCTTGTTGGATTGGTTGTAAAAATCTTGCAACATTTTAGGGTTCTTAAGCATAATCTGTGTAATAATCCCATGAAGAATAATTTGAGTGTTTTTTTTTCCATTTTTTCAGTGTCCCATTCAAGACTTTTGATATATTGGAAGATCAAGAGGTAAAATTTTATTTGCCTAGTAGACAACGACAACAACAACAACAACAACAACGACAATAACAGGAGAAGCAAACTAAGAATAACTCTCTTTTACATCTCAGGTTCGCCAGGGTCTCAAGACATATTCTAACTGGCCAACTTATCCACAGATTTATGTGAAGGGAGAACTAATTGGCGGAATAGACATCATCACGGTATGTGTGGCGTCCATCATGTCATGAACTATTCCCCCACACACTGTGGAAGGGGCACATTAATTATCCCTACCCCACCCTTGTAGTTCACTGCAAAAGGGGTGAGGGCTAAGGGCTGAAAGCAACTTTTCTTGTTAGATTCTAGCTTCAATTGAAACTTCTGAGTAATTTTAGACTGCGTTTGTAACTCTGGGACCCTTTCGTCTTCAGTTCAGCACTCTCCTACAGTCCCATCAATAATGTGCATCTCCTGTGTTCCTTCACAGTTGTCATTTGGTCTCTTATGCAGCAAGACACTTTTAAAAAAAAAAAAAACGGCTGCAGAAAGTCTTGTAGTCCATACTCTCCCTGAAAATTCTCCGGATAGTTTGTAAATGAACTTCAAATCATTTGTTCCTACAGGAGCTTGATAAGGATGGGGAGTTGGAAAGCACCTTGACTGGTTAATTTCAGAAAAATTGAGAAAAAATCCAGAAGTACCATCATAGTTTTAAGATGAAAGACTGTCAGTGACATTATTTTTCAAAGTTGACCTGTTAGATGCTCAATATCAAGAAATTGATAAGTTACAACAGTGCAATGACAAAAATCTGTGGAAAAATTTAAATGCTTTTTCTTGACATTGAAACAAAGCTATTGTTGTTTTAGACTGGCAGACGAAAATGTAACTTATCTCCAATAAAAACATGTTGCAGATCACAATTAATGATTTTCTGTGTTGCACAAAGTTATCATGTAAATGATCAAAATCTAATGAATGTAAAGATACAGTTTATACCTTTGTTTGTTTTTTTATTATTGTTGTTTTATTAACATTGTACAGGTAAACGTATTTTTCATAAGTATTTACAAGTTGCCTATGAACTGCTCAAGGTTTGGTTAAAAATAACTACACTTTTTAAAAGTTTTTGCCCTCAAGGGGGGCAAACCTTTTGCCTTTAATTTTTTTGTTAACCACAAATCAACCGGTTTGAATTTGCAAGCACCTAGCCATTACAAAATGATTCTACTTCCAAGCTTTTATTTAGGAAAACAACAACATTAAGACTGTCTGAGTGGAGCTTGAGCTTTTAATAGTTGCAACATAATTTGGTTTTATCAAGTAAGTTGATGATGTAAATTAGCACACCTTCTCTAAGGCTGACATTTTTCACCCTTTGTCAAGGCAAATGATGAAGGGCTAACACTCAACACATCTGCCTTAGGAACTCTCTACAGAGGCTAATTTACATTTACCTACTCAGTTGATAAAACCCAATTATCTTGTAGTACCCCCATGCAGCACCAGAGTTTCTTTAGCAACTTACCGCCTTACAACAGTGTGACACTTCTCCTGATCTCTCAAACCTAGAGTCTTAATTCCTTACTGACAAAGCAACTTTGAAGACACTGTGGAACTTTTAGTTTTAGAAAATAGAAAGGGGAACCTTTTGTTCAGTTTCAATCCTCTTCAGAGGCAAATGTTTGAGGTGCTATCAAAATACCACAGGTGACCCATTAAAGCATTAAAAGTAACAGAGATTATGTACAGGGGCAGGAGGCCATGGAAAGGAGCCTCGATCTCCCCAAGGAAGTCTTAATCCATTAACCCTTAAGAGTAATTAGCACCAAGGCAGGAGGCCATGGAAAGGAGCCTCTACCTCCCCAAGGAAGTCTTAATCCATTAACCCTTAAGAGTAATTAGCACCTAATTTTTCCTTACAATATCATCCCCAAATCACACATCTAGGTTATGAGAATAGAGGAAATGATCACCAACTAAAGAAGTTCTTGATTGCTTAAAAAATTCTCCCTGTCAGCATCTCAGGAAATATATAGAGAACAGTTTAGAGAATATGCATACTGATGATAGGGTGTAAAGGGTTAATCAAAACAGAGCTTTTACCATCCTAATGTTTTACATCAAACTCCCACCAAACATGTATTTGGGAGGAAAACCAGTTTTTGTGGTTCGTGGTTGACTCGACCAAAGGGTGATACTTTCTACAGCAAAAAGTTGTTCTAAAAATAAATCTACTCAGGAAAGGGTTGACTCAAGGAATCAGTGCAGATAGAGGCTGCTGCTGATGGGCTCCTGTCAGAAGAAACATTGCATGCCATGTGAGAGGGAAAATGCTGGTCAGTGCTGGCCAGAATTCTGTCATGTTTCTCTTTGGTTCACCAGTATAGCTAGTGCTACTACTACCAAAAACTCAGTCAAAATACTCTAAGTAGGTAGCAGTTCCATGGTTAAGTGAACTGAGTCAGGAAAAAGCTAACTAGAGTGTATCTCTTTCTTCTGTGAGTGTAAAATAATACACAGGGAACAAAGGCAATGTCTATCCTGATAAGTCTCCAGCACCAAATTTCAGTTCATCATATCCTTCAGCTTTGATAACCCTGCCCCCAAACCATCTTCCATTAAGAGCATTAGCAGCTTTTTCGGTTTCTATGAAGAAAAAGGTAAGTATTGATTCAGCTTTCACTTGAATTTTGATTAAAAGCATGGTTACAGCTTTGCAAACATGCATACCAAAGACTGGTACAGTTCTGAATGGCCAACATTTTACTTTGCACTAGATGTAATGATTTGAACAATCGGAGAGAAAACAGGCACTCAAGATGTTATTTGGGACGGTGAAAACTATTGTTGGTTTGCCATTAAGCATATGTATGATTGTAGAAACTGTTAATACAATGATAATCACACTATTTGCAACACCTTTAATCCATATCACCACAAAGGCAGTACAAGTAATAATTAAAGATAACAGTATTTCTAATCACCTGAAGGTTGAGTGAACTCCACAAATATCTTAACTATGACTTCAGCATCCTCCTCCTCTCCTTGTCTCTCATTATAAATCACCACCCTACTGACCACTCCAAACTTGCTGCACTCGTCTGTCACCTCGTGCTCCAGTTCTTCATCCAAATCTTCCACTCCTACCATGTTTCGCAGCACCAGAACTTTAGACTGAAATAAGGAGATGGCTCATTTAAAAAAAAAAAAAACAAATTTATTTGCTTACTTCACATAACTTGCACAAGCAATCAGCCTGTGCCAGGCTCTCAGTGAAAGGAAATGGGCAAAAAGAGAGGTGCATAAAATCAATGGAAGGTTAAGGCAAAGGAAAAAATAAGAATTAGAGTCTGTACAAACTGGTGACCTGACAATTGCAATCACCTTCTGCCACATGCCAGCATTTTGCTTGTTGCCACTGACTGAATGCCTATAATAGGCAACATTATTTAAATATTTGTTCCCAAGAAAATCTGCATAGAAAGCTGTTTTGCACTCACATCTAGGATCATTTCCTCATATAGCACTCACCTCACTTTTGCGAGACAGTTTCTGCATGACCATATACCTGGCATTACTACCAGATATTGACATGTTCTCCTCGTGACTTATGCTACTCTCTGCCACTTTTCTCTGCGTCTCCTCTTCAATCTTGGCACGCACCTCAGCCTGTTGTGCTGCAATAACCTGGGCTGATTGCTGCTGCAGCTGCTGTTGTTGCAACTGCTGTTGCTGTACAAGTTGTTGTTGCTGTTCAAGAAGTTGTTGCTGTTGAATTTGTAGCTGTTGAACAGCTGCTGACTGGACTGGTAGGCCTGTGGTGGTTACCACAGGTGTTGCAGGCACTGGTGTCACAACTGCTGTTGGGGGACCTAAGAATAAAACAGTAAACTACTGATTTATAATCAAATCAAATGAGTGACTAACTTGACTAGGAATAGCACACATGCATGCATTGGTCACTCAATTCTAGCATCTTAAATCACGATATCTTAAAAATGCAACTACAGTAACATGCAGAGTGGGTTACTTTTTCTACTAGAGCACTTTTTTTCTATATTGGCAAAACGGTACATGTAGCTTAAAAGGAATGGATTATGTAAATGGGGGAAGGGGTGAGGGAAAGGGAAAGACATTACCTGCTAGCAGCGCTGTAGATGCTGTCATAATTGGCTGTGCTGCAATACTTGTTGACATCACTCCTGGTGCAAGAGTTCCAGGGGCAAGGGTTCCAGCTGCCATGGTTGGCAGAGCAACCAGGCCTGCTGTACCCACTATGGAAGTGATCACTGTACTCCCAGCAATTGTAATGGCTGGGACTAGGAACAAAGAACAAAATATATGAAATAAATAAAAAAATGAGCCTAATTTTTTGTTTGTTTGTTTGTTCATATATGTGGATTTTGGATCTTGGAACTGAACATTTTAGATCTGAAAATTTTACAGTTACACAGTTTTTTCCCAATTCCTGATATTTTCAAGCAATCTTGTTTGGAATTTTTGTGCTAGTCTCTTACATAACAAAGTATTTTACACCTCTTTACAGATGACTGTCCAGTAAACCTTTCCCATTATATCGGTAACATAGAAACCTTATCTTAGACTTTGGGTGTCTTTTATAAAAATTCCAAAAGGGTCCCACATGCTTGTTAGGAATTTGACTTTGTCATATAGTTTGTCCACCAAACTCAAGTGTTGTTTATTTTCAATTTTGTTTCATGACTGTAATAGGAGAAAATTTTGCTGGATTATCAACACCTGAAAATCCTGCTGCCCTAAATCTGGTTTCATCCATGAATTCATAAAACTCTCTTTGGTTTACATCTGGTCTCAAAAATGTTACCACTTGCAGAAGCCAAGTTTAAATCTAACTTGCACAAACTTATTCATCCTTACATGTGCTTGTCAGCCCCTGCTCCTGTGCTTGTATCTTTGCTGACACCGCAGCAGCAGCTAATGCAGCTGCAGGTGGCAATGTACCGTTACTAGTCTGTGCCGATGCTGGAGGTGTGATGGCTCGACCTACTCTCAAGTACTGTCCTCCAAGATCAAACAAGTTCATGGAGGCTATGGCATCTGTGGCTGACTGTTGGTTTTCATATTCTAAGAAGCCGTAGCCCTTGTGCTTTCCTGGCATGGTGTCTGGAGCAAGAGCACAGCTGCGCACTTTACCAAATGCTTCAAATACACTAATATGCAAAGAAACAGGCAAACAATAAATTTATGCCCAAGAAAAACAGAAAACAAGCCAACACCTACACAAGCAAAACTACTTTTCCAAAAAAATGGCTACAATCACTCATGGAAAATATTTAAAAAAAACTGAACTGTATGAGAAGGTCAATTTAACAGAAAAATCAAACAAGCTTGTGTCACCTTCAAAATTGAACTACAGTAAAGAGTATGCCACAATCTAATACTTTGAATGCAATCACCTCTTTATGTCATCCTCAGCCAAATCTGCATGAACAGAGGCCACATAGATTCTAGCATACTTCTTAGCTTCCTGCTCAAACTGCTCAATCAGTGGTGCTGCTTGTGGTACATTGCTTGGACGACCCACCTGATGAAGAGACAAAAAACGTTAACATTACTTGCAATGCAAATGACTCTTGACGCAAACCTCTACTTTTCTACCTCGGAAATTATTGAGCAACAAACTATTTTCAATCAAAAAGACCCACAGAAGTATGGAAAATCACTGTCTGCAAAAGGGCATAAGGTGTAAATACTGACCTTTATGTTTCTCCCTCCAAGCAGAACACCATTCATCTGTTCCAAAGCAAGCTGGGCTGCCTCTGGTAAGTCATACTCCACAAATGCAAATCCCTAAATAGAATATATATCCATGTAACTTGAAGAACACAGGGTTTTCATTTACAAGTACAGCATGTACCAGAAGAACAGTATAGTAAAAGGATAATTTACTATAGAGCAGTCCCAGCTTGTTAATTGAACATACCTTATGTTTCATGGTCAGAGGATCCCATGACAAATCTATCTTTTTAATTGGACCAAAAGGGATAAAAGCTTGTCGGACATGTTCTTCACGGAGTTCAAAATTGATGCTCCCAACATACACTCTGAAAACAAAAGAATATCAAAGATATTATTTTAATTCTCAACGTTCATGCAATAAAAATATTAGGGAGTGTTAGAAAAAAATTTGCCAAAGTTCTGTTACAAGATGAGGCAGTTCAACAACGCAAACTACAATCATGCACATTCGGAGAAAGACCATAGACCATTTGGCATTCATCAGTGAAGAACATGAAAGACACTGCTAGGGCTGTAATTACACTGTTGACTTCTCAGTCTACCTGCACATTAGAGCTAATGCTCTCTGTCTTTGAGCAGCTGTCTGTAGGGCAGACATCTGTTGCTGTTGGAGAGCTTGCTGTTTTGCTAACACCTGAGAGAAAAAAGGGTAAGATCACAGATACAGGCTATCATATAAAGGGTTTTTATACATATCTATGGAAAAGATTCCAAGTTAATCTTAACACTTTCCAGACACAACTGTGATGAGTGAAAACACCTACTGTAGCATGAGAAAAAGGCAGCTGCTAAGGCTCAGGCTATGGCAATTTGCATACATTCAGTTTTTGTTTCACAGATCAAGGCTGGCAGTTAAGTATACTGTTTTCCAAGCTGACAATACTAGCTCACAAATTTCACTACTCTTTCAAAACTTCAAATTGTGTTTGGAACCCTGATAAAAATTTTAATATTCAGTGGCCGGAAGGGATGGAGGGAAAGAACGTTTATCTACCTCATTACTATAAATAAATTATCATGACCGCAAAGCAATTTGTCTGCCTGACAGTTCTTAAGTTAGAGTAGCATTGACCACAACAATGGATGATGAAAAAAAGGCAATAACTATGGAACAGAAAACTCTTAGCCTAAATTTTCCATGCAGTTCAACCAACACCACCACACTAAAAGATTTCATGTTTGAAAATCTGACCTGTTGGACAGACTGTTCCATTGCAAATCTCTTTGCCTTCTTGAGCATCTCTTCCTGTTGATAGGTCAGAGGAGGCAGTGCCCTTTTTACTTCTGAGGGGCGTGGCTGCATACCACCTGCTCCTGGCCCAATAACAAGTTCTCCATTTGATCCATCATCAATAGGTTGATCTTCTACATCTCCATTTGCTGCACCAGCCACAGGTGATTCTATGGGATAATTATATAGCAATCATGAAGATATCAATGATAAACCTATAACCACCTTCAGGTTTAATCGGAGTTCCATCAACAAGCACACCTTTTAAAAGTAAAATTTCTGGCATGATGAGTTAAGAATCAAATTTGTCGAATATTGATGCGATTTTGGCCAAAAGAGAAAGTTTTAGGTCTAAATCTTTTCAGCATTTGTTAGCATGTCGGTCAATGTGTGAAAACAAATGATCAAAAAAAAAAAGTTTCCACGTATTCTATAGGATAAAATTATCCCTTTCCAACAGATTTGCATTTGATAACGTCAGTCAGTCTCTTTGGCAAAAGTGACAGAGTACTGATAGAATAACTCTTCATTACAGGTATAAATATTTCTAAACCATTATACACTTGTTTTACCACCAAAGATCGAGTCAGTGTCATGATGATTATCCTGGCTTCAAGCCAAACCGGCACTGGCTAACTTGATTTGGATGCAAAAGACAAAAAACAGAGAAAGAGAAAAAAAGAGAGAAAGCAAAAAGAAATGTTATCATCCATCTACACTGTATTAATACAACCACCGTAAAAAAAAAAAAAAAAAAAAGAAAAGGAATGAAGATTTACAGCAAGTTACTACATGTGGTATGAAGAGTACTCTTGCTCCAGCTTGTACTGATGTTTTTAACTCAAACAGGATTTTAGGACATTACTACTGGTTCAGGAAGCTTTTCATTTATATTCAAGTTTTCTTGTAGTGGTAGCATAATAAACAGAGGCTATTAAATTGTCAGATGTGTGCAATATGCTATTGTTTTGATCAAAGGATTCCGTTTGTGCTTACAGCTGTTGCTGAAGAGGCAACAGCTGAAAGTCTTGAAAACATAAAAACAAGAAAATTTAGGTTTCTCTTGCTGTTTGAAAACTTTGAGGCCCAAATACACTATGTGTAGTTTAAAGAGAGGGATTTTGAATGTCTTGAATCAGCTACACTAGATGAACCCAAGAAAGTTGGGTTGGTCTGTTTTTTTTTGTTCTTCAACTGCATGTGCATGTTCTGCTCAAAGCTTCCGAAATAAAAATAAAGAGATGATATATAATATCACAGAGTGTTCAAGTACATGTAGGAGCCAAAGCTTTGCACTCTTTCATGAGCATTATTGAAGATCTATTTCAAAAACCAACAAACCTCCCCCTGGCCCAACATCAAAGCCTCTTTTCCGTCTTCTCCGTTGGCTACCATCACCTTCGCCATTTGTCTTCTCTTCAGGTGCTTGAGCAGCCAACTGATCAACCTACAATGTGTACAAAGAGCCAAAATGTTTAGTTATTGGTCCCAGTTGTTCAGAGGATGGACAATGCTATCCATTGGAAAAAATCTTTATCTGGTGGATAGGGCAGTATGTTTTGTTAATAATGGTAACAGGACTGAGTGGAGTTTAATTCAGTCTGTTATCATACCAGTGAACAACAAACTCAAACAACTGCCAAGCGGGAGTCCGATATGTTAATCGTGAGTATGATTACCAACCAAATTGGACAATGCGAAGTCCTGTCACCAATTAATAAAAACTATGAAAAAATTTGAGAGAGAATCTAGACAACCACTATACATTTTCCTTAAAAAAACAAATA